AAAAAAAAAAAAAAAAAAAAAAAAAAAAAAGAAAGAAAGAAAAATTGAGAATACATACACCCCCTCACCACAGGTGCCTGAAAGGCAAAATACTTTTTATGCTCTCGATAAAAATAACTGTCTGCTTGTAATGAAATGTCATATTTCCTACATAATATAGAACAATATAGGTTTATACAGCAATCTTCACTGAAACATCGCTTCATGCTTGAATGATAATGCAATCTCAGCAAAATAAATAAACACAGATATGACTTTCATATGTCCTTCTATGTGATTATATTTTCCTAATTTGAAATACTGACTGTCTGGAGAGTTTTTTAAGACATACCAGAGTGTTTCTAAAATTAAACAAGGAAAGAAGGGAAGCATACTCAGTTATTTGGAAGTCCAAGAGACACAAATCATCTCAGAGCATCCAGTAAAGGCAACTTTCTATCTTCAGCAAAACAGAAAAGCACAAGACACACTTATGTCAGAGGGAGCATATTTGTTGCTTGATTTGAGTATCTTTTGCTTAAGCTGCATAGAATCACAGAATAGAATCAACCAGGTTGGAAAAGACCTCAGAGATCATGAAGTCCAACCCTTGATCCAACCCCCCCCGTGGTTCCCAGCCCATGGCACTGATGCCACAACCAGTCTCATCTTAAAAACCTCCAGGAAGATGAATCCACCCCCTCCCTGGGCAGCCCATTCCAATGGCTAATCACTCTCTCTATAAAAAATTTCTTCCTAATATCCAACTTAAACCTCCCCTGGCAGAGCTTAAGACTGTTCCCTCTTGTCCTGCTGCTGACTGCCTGGGAGAAGAAACCAACCCCACCTGGCTACACTCTCCTGTCAGGGAGTTGTAGAGAGTGATGAGGTCACCCCTGAGCCTCCTCTTCTCCAGACTAAACAACCCCAGCTCCCTCAGCCTCTCCTCATAGGAGGACCAGCACAGCCCTACCAAGCCAAAAAGAGCTACAGGAGGAAGCAGCTGCCAGGGCTGCACTCACAGAGGGCTCAGCACCCACAGCACGGCCCTGGGCAGACCCGGCAGAGAAGAGCCGGTCCAAGTGAGTGGCGACGCTGCTCTGGGGCCAACAGGGTCGGGGTCAAGCTTTACCCCATACATTTGAAATGTAAAGGCATTTTGGTACACACTAACCCTACAGCCAAGTGGAATTAGGTGTCACAACTCAGGATTAGCACCAGTCCTTACCCAACCCAATTCTTTATATGCAAACAAAATTTAGGCCACTTGCTTTGGCAACAGCGGTGCAAAGGGAAATACGTGACCATTTGTGCTGGAATTTTAAGCAAAGAAAAATGCGCACCACTTGTTAAAAGCCGAATCCCAATCCACCCGGGAAATAATTTTTCTATAGTAGATACCCCCATTAAAGGAAAAATACTACAATTTGGTTCTGAGTCAACTCATTTTCTAAAGCTACAGATACATTTTTATCATTCACTAGCCTGCCTGAATACTTTTTACTTCCTCTGGCAGAGAACACATTGCTTTATTGGTAACTTCAATCATTTTAAAGCTATTCGCTTCAACATGCTTTCAGGAGAGCCTTTGAACAGTCGCTCTGGACAAGCAAGTAGAAATTAACTCTGCAACAACAGAGAATCTG